TGTAAGTGTTCACACCTTTATTCTGCGTCCTAAATAGTTTAGCATACTGCGACCCCAGTGCTTTCTTGTTGTATCTCCATTTTTAGTACCAGTGAAAACAGCTCATAACAAAATGTGAGCCTACGAAGATGTCACATTTTCACTGTTAAAGCATCGAGGTCGCGAACGGTCTGCACTAGGCTATTACAGCCCTCTTCGCCTTGCACCAAAACCAGCGCTGCCTCTCGCTTCCTCCACGTCCAGAGTTCACACCGCGAGCGGGGTGGATTACCGGTAGATCTTGCATCTTGGTGCAGACGAGCGGTGTTTGCCTGACGAGCGGTGTTTGCCTGACGAGCGGTGTTTGCCTGACGAGCGGTGTTGTACTGACGAGCGGTGTTGTTTTGCCAGGGCGGTAATTGGACTCAAAGCCAGATTTATTTGCACGAGAGCAAGCCCTTAGCACAAAGCAATACGAGACGCAAAGCAGGTCTTGGGACCAAGTGCTTTGCTCTGCTGCGATTTGAGTCTTGTCTGCCATCCGCTGCTCGTATGCCTTCGAATAATCGAACAGACTAGTTTGTGGTGCAGTGACACTGTGCGCGGAGTCTCTCTCTCTCTTTCTGACGTTTGGGGTTTCGCGGATTGCTAGCAGGGAGGGGAAGGAAGAGGGGGTCAGACACGAGTGGCTTCGCGGATTGCAATTTGGTGTGGGTACTTGAACCTTAGGCTAGACTCAACGTATCATGCTGGTGATTTGATTTGATGATTTGACCTAGTGATTTGAGGCTTGTGACTTGAACTAGGGTCTTGCGAGCGTGTTTGCTACCGGGGTACAGCTCTAGTATCGAAGGCCTTAGCAAAGTCTAGATAAATGGTGTCGACACAGCCATCTGCCTCAATGATTGAAGTCCATAGGTCGAGCACCGCTAACAGGTTGGTTGAACAACTTCTGCCGCTCATGAAACCATGTTGACAGTTGCTAAACAGATCATTTTGCTGGAAATGTTTTATGAGCTGATCTCTGATGATGGATTCTAATACCTTACAGGCCACACTCGTTAGACTCACTGGACGATAGTTTCCTGGGGTGTTTTTTTTGCCTTTTTTGAAGATAGGTGAAACATGGGCTAGCTTCCACTCGGATGGTATAACTCCTTCCTGCAGTGACCTATTCATTACAGTTGCCAGCGGGGTAGCTAGTTCAGTGGCACATTGTTTGAGGATTGATGATGGGATGTTGTCTGGACCTGGGCTTTGTTGGGATTTAGCTTATCAAGCCTCTTGAGCACATCTTCATTAGTTATAAGCATGTCTTCAAACTTGCAGTCAACATCTCTGTGTTGAAATTCAGGTATTTCTCTTGTGTCCTCTCTCGTGAAGACTGAGCAGAAAAAACTATTGAGAACCTCGGCTTTATCCTTGTCCGTGCTTGCCACACTACCATCATCACAGACCAGGTCCGCAATACCACTCCTTGTGTTTAGTTTGCTCTTGGCATATTTGAAAAATGCTTTGGGGTCTTGCTTGGATTTTTGGGCTATCTTTCTTGCGGCATTCCCATTTGGCTTGGTTTCTTGCTTTTGCGTAGTCTGCATAGTCCTTACCATCTCTTGTCTCCATATACCTTTTGTAATCTCCCCTGATGATGATTTGATTCAACATGACCTTTAAGTCTTACTTGAACAAAAGTTGAATCAGGTATCTTTCTCAAACGGTAGCGATATTGACAGCTCGGCGTTGGCGATCAGAAAGAAAGTTCTCAAGGCTAACTCGCCCTCTGTGTTGTCCCCCACCCCACCACACCCTGTGGTGCGTTCCGTCTGCTTGCACACAAAGGAAACATACTACACCCCGCCCACGTCATACATTCACTCCGTCCATCACAGTGCAGTACAATGACCTCTCCATCCTCTCATCGGAGAAGTGAGAGGCGTGGTAGGCCTAGATAATCTAGACTAGGCTGGCCTATCACACGATGCGTTCTGCTTGTCTGTGCATGCCACACTCTCCCCACTCATTTAATCCGGCCTTCATTGTTGGCACATGTGGGCTCTCCCATTCTTTGTTTTGCAAGATCACCAACAAGTTTCTCAACTGGCGAGGTTTTACAAACAGTCTAGCACACACGTAGCGAAACATGCATATAAAGGGAACAGATTTTTAAGTCCTGAATTTTTCCTTGTATATTCTTTATATTTAGATTAAAGCACTTACCTAGTGGAATTCGTACATCATCAAAAGATTTCCACTTTCAACCAATTTCGTTATGTATGTACTGGACTTTATTTAGATGCATCTGTTATTCTAAACAGTTTTTTGGCTTTCCCCGTACCTACTTGTGGATTTTGCTTAGTATTTGCCAGTTTTTTTTGCAACTTCTACATGATTTAAATCGGATTCTATAACATTATTATATTATACTATATGATCCTCTATTTGTTATTTTGTTATTGAACCTGAATGTTAACTTTTGGAAGTTTGTTCCCTTTGGTCATGTGTTGTCTGAGTGGTATTACATTTTGTACTTTAAAAAAATCTAGGTGTTTTTATGCGTCATCGATACTATTTAGATCATTTAGGAGATGGACTTTGATCCTGCTCGTCAGGGCCAACACAATTGAGAGGGATGCAATGTCTGAGCAGAAAGACCTGATAAAAATTTTCCCCACACAGGTGTTCTACGTGCAATGGCGAAGTGCCAAACAGCTGTACCACAAATGCTGATTATCATGTTTTTAAAATGAAAGAAATTGTTTTGCTTCTTCAGAGGTGAGTTTTCTTTGATATTCTAAGAATCTCATCTCAATTTGATTTTAAAAATATTTGTTCAATTTTTCATCCTTAAAAAAACATCAGCAATCATCAACAATGTGCAGCCAAGATCACAATGACTATCCCCATCTGATGACACAGCGGTTCCTCCGAGATTATATCAGGCTTTGTGAGACAGAGGAAGAACAGAATTCCCTGTGCACATTTTCCCAAGATTCTGCTGAACAAAAACTTGTTGAGAGCTGTCAGTTTCTCTTGGAGAAACTAAAGTGTAATGGTGATCAAAGGTAAGACTCATTTTTAGCAGTCAGTTATTCTACTGGTTATAATTATAATATATTATAAGTGAGCTGCTGCTTTAACCGAGACAAAGGCCAAAAATATCAGTGTGACTAATAGCTCAAAGCTTGATGCTGCTTTTTTTTTCTCTTGGCTTTTGTATGCAGTCTTTCCTGTATTCAAATTTTACTCTTGCCTGTCCCATCCTTGCGATTGTTGAATATAATATTCTTCTATTCCTGTCTTCCTACAATTAGATGAGTGTACATAATTATTTGTCAAGGACTGTAACTGTCTCAGCTTCAGGTTCTTTTATCTGCCTCTGGTGGGCCTGAGTCATCTCAGCCTAATTGGATGAAGAAGAAGAAGGAAGAGACGATACAGAAGCAGTGAATTACTGCATACCTAGCATGTCTGGTGTGCCTACTCTTATCCACTCATCTCACTTACGATTTTAGTATGAGTTCTGGGCGGGGCTTATGGGTTATGAGTAGATCTAGTTATGAGGGATCACACACTTACCTCACCAGCAGCTGAAAATTGGTAGCTATTTGTCAACTGTGGGAGGGGCCTACGCAACATGATCGGTTGGAGGGACTACCCAACAACAACGAGAGGTGATTGAATTATGACGGCTCGCCCACAACGCCAGGGGCCAATGCACAATTTATGACAAAACGTAATTGAGTCACTAAGGTGGCCGTCTAAGACAGGTGTTATTGCTAGTGTGATAGGGGTTGAGAGTTAAAATATGGTGGCCGTCGCTGCGTTGGACAGGTGCCCGTTTTACACAGTTAAAATATATAGAAAAAACGCAAGGGGGGAAATGGCCATTTGTACAGGTGGCCATCTTATATAGAGGTGGCCGTCAGGGCAGGTTTTGACTGTATCTTGCGCTCTTGCTTCTGAGCATAGAGGGGGGTTTCACATTCTGCTAATGTGTATCAGAGATAATAATTTCTGCCTGTATCCACTTTTGTTTGACTGTAGTTCACTCTTGTATCACTTCCAAATGTCTTTTACTTTCCACAGGGAAGATCAGGAAAGACTGTTGGAGTTTTTTGTTTCTCTTGGTAAAAATGCGAAACTGGACTTGGATTGTCTGCAAGTATGGACGTTAGTCTTAGTGAGAATGTTATTTGTCTGTTGCCACTTGTTGATTACAGTTCAGATTATCTCATATGTTTATGGCTGTGGCTTTATTTTGTGGTCAACACATGTTTCTTTATGTTTAGAACACTAAAAAATGCATTAATATTTTTATGTGAGATGTGAGCATCTGGTCGTATTTGTTTTGTGATATCCACCTGGCACGCCGGTGCCACCGGTCACTCAGAGACAACGGGTTAATGACTAGTCTAGTGAGGTGAACTGGCTCTTTTAGGAGAACTGATTTTTCAGCACTATCTTGTATTGTTAGGTCATTTTATGTAGAGCATTGAGTTCCTGCCTGCTGTTGGCATCGCGGACCACTTATGATATCACAGTGTCAGAAGGAAGAGAAAGAGTGAGAGCTCCCTCTTTACTGATATGCTTGACTGTGGAAAGTCAATCCTTATGGGGTGGGTGGTGCTTTCTTCTGTCTCTGCTGGCTGTATCTAATCCCTGTGCAACACAACTAAACAACTGAGTCTGTGTCGTGTAGTAATACTCAGGGACATGCCCCAGTTACCACCTGTCTTAAAGCTACATCATTGACAGTGCTCAACTTTGCTTTTCACCCTGAGTTATCATTAATCACTTCCACAGAAAACATTGGTAATCATTGATATATCTGTTACAGAGTAAGGAGACAAGTGAACCCACCATCTTCCCTGAAATTAAAGGCATTACTGGCAAAACGCTGAAAACTTGTCCTGCAAGCCAGTCAGGGAATAATATCACAAAGTATGAGGTATGTTAAGAAGAAATAAAGGGTTTGAAAGATGTTTTTAAAAAATATTGCCACTTCACTTACGTCTGGAATTAGTTTTTGGAAGACACTATTCTACTTTTAGTCCGACAGGTTACCCATATGAAGTGTTGAAGGTCCATGTGATGGATTGTATGTACAGTACCAAAGTTTTTCAATAGACTTGGGGTTTATATTTATTATTGATATGCTGCAGTGTGCTGTATTGTAGTGATTTGTAAAAAATATGACTGTTTGTTCCTTTGGTCCTGCCTGTCCTTTATCAGTTTGTCTTTTTCTTTTCTCCATTTGACGTTGATGTGAACTGAAGGAGTAATGGAGATAACGCATGTCATGCTTTCTAGAAATATCTCATAATGTGTTGAGCATGGCAAATAGGTGCTAGGTCTTGACTCTAGTCTTTGAACTCAGTCTTTGGCTACCTTGGTTTGTATGAATGGAAAGCTTTCACTGTTTTTTCTCTTTGTTCAATATTCATGATAAAGGGTTCTGTCATGTTGAATGCTAGAATGGGCTGAAAGCTCAACAGTTACTGACCTTGAAATGTGACATGAGTGTGTTGTGGGTTGCATGAGTTGTTGGTCATTCTGTTATTTTTTTTCAATATGTCATGTAGCAAGTTGTCTTTGTCACCTGTTCACGACTCAGTTTTTCCAATTTATTTTTATATCAATATTCAGGTCTCTACCAATAAGTAAGAGTGGTCGGAGGTTCAGTAAAATAGATGTTCACTTTGTTACCTGAATTTCTAGTTTCTAACCCCACGCACTGGCAACATATATTCAGGTATTGTTTAAGTCTTTCGGATAATGGCTGATTCTTTTTACAGATGGGTGGCAGAGTGTAGCAGTTCCTTTTTGATTTTTAGATATATTGAGGTGGAATCACATTAAGAAATAAGAGAGAACATAGCTGTAACCTGATTTGTTTTTCTTTTTATAAATCTTTATATTTATGTTGTAAATGTTTTTACTTCTGTTAGATTTATTCATTTTAATATCCTATAGATTTAGTCTTAGCAGTGTATAAACCTTGTTGCACTTTACTCTTGTGATGCTTGCTCTCATAAAGATTTACGTTTTATCCCTTCCTTTAGAGCAAGGCGCAAGCTGTTTTGGAAAAAATACAAGCTCAGAGGGTATGTTCTTTGTTTTGTCTTGTTTAGTTTTGGTCAAGTGTAAGGCTCTACTGTGTTCAGTGTAGTCATTTGTGAAAGTGGGAAAATCAATTCTCCATATGGACCTTGGGCCAGAAGGGCATTCTGTAAGTGTTCTGGGAGTTTTTGAAATAATATAGGTGAGAGGGTGAAGGTCATAACTGTATTTATTTATAAGGATTTTTTTCTGTCTGCATTGATTCTGATCCTTGCTGGGATGTAAACTTGATATCACTGTGATCAACAATTAGTTTACCATGAAAATACAACAGTCTTGAATTTCAACATAAGCAGCGCCAGTAGCAGCAGTTGATCTCATTGTTGGAAAACAATCAGGCCATTATCTTATTCGATCTAGAGAGGTGGGGAAATCTCTGAGATCAAAAGGGGATTCTTTTACTCTTGGATTGTTACTGGTATTTAGGTGTATTAGGCTGGACGGCAATGCAATTTGATTCCTTGAATAATATATATGAACAGTTTCACAATGAAACGCAGCATGTCTATTTTTACGGTTTTGGGAAAGGTGAATTCTCTTCTTCATCTAAACTCGCACAAAAAAGTCAAGGAACAAAAATTCAAAGAAAGATTACTGAAGAACAGTGTAACCGAATTTATTCATTTTTTCACAAAAGATGCTTTTGATTCTCTAGATTAAGTGTGAACGATTTCAGATTTCAACAACAACGAGAAGTTTATGTAAAGTGAGTTTAAGTTACACTGGTCGGATTTCAAAAGTCTGAACAGCCAAAGTTCTTCATGAACATTGTCAATAGTGGATGTAGCCACTCCGTTTGATCAAACACTCGGCACAGCGTCGATGCATGGACAGGACATGCCTTCGGTGAACTTGTTGGGGTAGGTTCTGCACTCCTGGACGTGGTAGCCCAAGAGTTGTTGAAGGTTTTTTGCAGGAGGGTGGTTGCCCCTTATCCACCGGTCAATGTGATCCCAAATGTTCTCTGTTGGGTTCAAATCCAGACTACAAGCTGGTCAGTCCATGCAGGGGACAGCTCGCTGCTGCAGGAAGTCCCCCGTGCGCGATGTGGCACGGCGTTGTCGTCCTGCAGTACAGCCTGGGGTCCAATCTGCTTCAGGAGAGGAACAACAAGGGGATGCAGGATTTCCTCCCTGTACCTTGCCGAGGTCAAATTGCCCTGTATATGGTACACGGGGTCCTGTGGTGAGCTGAGAAGCTTCCCTACATCAGAACGGACCCTGCAAAGTAGGGCGCCACCTGCTGGATGCACTCAGGGTGGAACAGCTCTCCTCGGCGCCTCCAGACGTGGGCTCGCCTGTCTGGGTGCAGCAGGTTGAATCTGGATTTGTCCTAGAAGACTACCTGGTCCCAATGACAATGTGTCCACTGTAATTGGCGAGCAATCCACGCCTGGCGAGCTGCTTTGTTGGGCGGCATATGCCTTGGGCCATATTTCTTGCAGCCTCTATACGACTGATGGAGACACCCAAAGTCGATGTGCAACAACTGGGAACGTGGAGCCATCTTGGAGTCAGGTAAGGACTCGTCCTCTGTCGACGTCAGGCAGCGAGTGTTGTTGGACCATCGTGTTGTAATGAAACATGGCAGAAAAACGCTGGCTCATAAAGGGTTGTAAGTGAGCAATATTCACTGCTAAGACATCTGTTTAGCACGTGCCAAGCTTAGTTTTAGCTAACAGTCCCTATGCCTATATTGCTGAGTCAGAGAAATTTAGCCCATTTTTCATGCTTTTCGGCTATATTTCAGAATGCCCTGCGCCGTCGCTATGAAGCCGGTGCTGGCAAATTTGCTGTACAGACAAACTGTGTCTAGACGTCAGTGCGTGTGCCAAATTTGGTTGACTGATCATTACGGATTTGTGAGATATTGAAGTTTGAATTTGACAGGTGAAAACACAAGCTGTTCCTTGACTTTTTTGGGCGAGTTTATTTGCTGAATAATCTTGAGCGACTTTGTTTTTGGAGTAAACATGATGTAAGGTTTAGTGGATATTTCTTATATAATGAAATCTATGTTGGATTCTTATCCTTAAAATTGATGAGATCTCCGTACATTTTCGACAACGCACATATCTGCCTTGTACATTTAAAAGGAGTGGGAAGAACTGCTGACAAACTTTTATCAATGACAAGTGAAGTCATGTGACTTGAGGAAAAAACTTGACTGGCGCTCAGAGGATATGTCTCGGTTTGTCAAAAAGGGTCGACTGCTTTTGTTGTGTTTTGTTAAAAAAGTATCACTGTCTATTTTTCAAAGAGGGACAAAATCACTTTTTGTGGAAAAAGAATTAAACTGTACAATATGACTCACCTTTCCAGATGAATTTAGAGAGATGCTTGTTTTGTGATAGTTAAGTCATCATAAGTACAAGAAGTTTGTCCGTGTTGAACCTGTTCTCCAGCAGATGCTGGGTCTCCGCTTACTCTTCTGTTCTTTAAGAAAAGAGAAAGTATAAAATCTCTTTCCAAAAGACACCTTGTTAAGCTTTCACTTTACTTGGTATTAAATAACAATCTCTAATTGTGGAAATTAATAATTTCCCCCCTATGTGAGAGATGTAACTCACATGAAATTTAAGATGAATTTCACTTTATTTTCTTTTGTCCGGTCCATACTTTGTCCATCAAAGGAAATTGTTAATTCCTCCCAACCTGACTCGGCCCAGTGACAGACATGCAATGTTTGACCCGTGATAAGAGATATGTGCACAACCTGTACTTTTTCATTATGGAAATTTTATTCTTTTAAAATAATTTTTTTTTTTGGTAAGTGTTTTATGGCGCTCGCAACTGCATAAGGTCATATGAGGGCGCGGGACACATTAAACATTTTCCGTTGGTGGGAATGGCAGCTGCAGCCTAGTCTTATTGATTTTGGACCACCAAAGAATCTTTAATGTGCGCAACTTGCACACTGGGCCTCAGAGATTTTTCGCCCTTATCCGAGAAGGCAAGGTGTAGCGTACCTTCCATAAGATCAGGGGTGTGGCTGAAAGACAGCAGTGAGAAGGAGTCATGGAGTAGCAGTAGAAACTTCAGAAAGGCTGCAGAAAGAGTCAGGAGCCCAGAGGAGGGTTCAAAGGGGAGGGGGGAGGTAGTAGAAAGTGGAGACGAAAACAGACGACAGAACATTGTTTGAGAACAGGAAAGGAGGTGAAAGGAGAAAATTTTAGAGCAGAAAATTGTCCTTCACTATCCGGATTCGAACCTGTGACCATTGAATGAAAGGTGAACACCTTAACCTCTAGGCCACGAGAGCCCCCGAAACTTTATTTAACAAATGAGTGTTTTATATGATGTAATTTGGGCCAATGACCTTAAACACTGAATAAACTTACTTACTTATGTACACTTTGCTTGGTATCTAACAATTGGCATCTTGATGGCAAGTTATTCGTGGTTTGTTTGTAGGGTGCTATTGACAGGTTTTACTTCTTTACTCTCTGTGTCTGTTGTTTGTGTGTGTGCGTCTTTCTTTTTCCTAACACTGGATTACCATTATTACATCAACATGTTTCTTTGTAACTTAGTAAAAGAGATGGAAAGTCAAATAGCACGATCCCTGATACTGTTTGTGAAATGTGGTGTTAGAAATGGAGACCAATGTCATAGTGAACAAGAAAGTCATAATATGAGTCTTCATGTCTGAATGAATCATCATCATCCGGTGCCTTGTGGACTGGCGTGGGTGATCATGGACCTCCACTTCACTCTGTCTTGCGTTGTAGTGATGGTGTCTGTAGTTCTTGCTGTTCCTAACCATGTTGTCAACTCGTCCAGTATCTCTTCCCTCTTTTTGCCTTTGCCTCTCTTTCTATCAAACTTGCCTGTAGTTACAATATTCTCCAATGCTTCTTTCCGCATTGTGTTTCCAATGAACTTTGCCTGTCGCTTTTGTACATTCGTCATAAGCTGTCGTCTGCAATTTGCTTCAACCAAGACTTCTTCGTTTGTTATTCTAGCTGTCCATGGGATACGCAGCATGCATTTTATGAACCACAACTCTGTTGCAGAATGATACTTAACTGCTGTTGCATTACCAGATGGCTGTCTGTTTTTCCCTCTTGGGGGCTGGGAAATCAAAGGGCTGCCAATCATTAGGAATTGGGCAAAATCATTCAGGTTTTTAAACCTTTTTTTAATTTTAGGAAAATACCATCGTTACACCCCCATCCTGACTCTGATTTTTATATATATGTATTAGCCGTTCGGGTACTCCAAGTTAGAAAACAGTCAGATCCTGACAGTCTGCGTCACTAGGTCACATGCAGCTGTCTGAGACTTTAACACCTTCTGTGCACAGAGCTCTTGAAGTTGCTCTGTGGAACTGTGCCCTTAGAAAAACATTAACTGGGAGTAAGGTCAACATTAGTTTGACAAGGTGTTAAAAAATTCCTGCGCCTTTGCATTGCAGGCGACGGCTTAGTCCAGTGAGAGAATTTTAAACCCCCCCCCCCCCTAAAACAAAAAAAGATGTGTGGCATTTTGTGTAGTGATGCACAATCAGGATCAAATGCCAGTGACCCATCCTGTTGGTTTCTTTCATTTTTGCAAGAGTCAAGCCAACAGTCAATAAATAACACCCCCCCCCCCCTCTCCGCGACCTTCTGTTTCCCTAACTTGACATGGACCAACCCGTTGGTCCTCTTTCATCACTCCTTTGTTTACATTGCAGTAATCCTATGACCCCTGTCCTTGACACCCCAGGGAAAAGGACTGTTCTTGGCTAGGTTATGAATTTATCTAGCATTTTTCTTCATTTCTTCTTCCTAGCTCTAACAAGATTACATTGAAAATGGTTACAAAATATTATAGGAAGCAACCGGGGGAAAACCTGAAATTTTTTTGTTCTTGATGAAAAAGCACTGTTTCTTATTATGGCTTTTTTTTTTTTGGAGGCACGCCATCTTGCTTTTCCAAAGCAGAAAATGACTATTATTTTGCTAGTATGCTGCTTTTCCTCCTTTGTATCTTGCATCATATCTTAATCTTACTTTGGCAGTCTAGTGTAGATGGTCTTGGTCTACTCGTTACACCTCCAACCTACCAGGCCATCTCTTCCTCCTGCGTTATGTCAATTAATTATGTATCCAGTTTTTTATTCTGACATGTTTTTTCTGTTCACCAAGACTTAAAATTTTTTTTTTTTTTTAACACTAACTTTCTCTTTCTTACAGAAAGACCCTTTAAAGAAATTCAGAGAAACTGCCAGTGTGTGTGAAAAGAAACTACTAGAACTGGAAAACAGGAGGAGTGTAAGTTTCTCTTATCACTAGCCATTGAGAGCACATTGATGGCGTTCATTTCCTTTTCTTTTTCTATTTTGTAAAAAAAATTATAAGGACAAGGAGTGCATTATTTGTGGCTTTTTGTGATGTTCTTTGAATTTAAAGTGTGTACTTTTCACAAGTATGATATAGCTTCTGTATAACTCATCTTTTTTCTCTAGTTGTGTATTTTTGGAAGCTGAATCTCTCATGATTCTAGCTTATGCAATTTATCCGGTAGATATATTTTGATTTTGTTAATCAATGAACAAATATTTGGAATCCAAAATGGGTGTGGAAAAGGAGGAGGGGTGGGGGGGGGGGAGGGAGGGGAAGAATTTTACTTGTCAATTGTCTTTGACCTGTTGCTAGGATGGAGCCCACAAAGGTGAAGTGATGCTGAATAGGATTTTCCGTTGAAACACTACCCTCTTCATCGTCCTGATGGTTTTGAAAAAAATTCTGTGTATTACAACACATCATGGCATCTTGCTTGGAATAAACCTGCCCCTCCAGTCACTCTGATTAAGTCAATCTCAATGCAGCAAGCAACAGTTCTTCACTCTTTAACTCCGAGCGAATGATGGAAGAGTTCACACACTCACACACACACGTGCAAACACACACACACACACACACTCTCTCTCTCACATGCAAACTCACCCACACACACACACTCACACACACTCACTCACACACACGCTCACACTCACACACTCACATTCACACACACTCACACACACGCACACACATACACACCTCACACACACACTCAAACTCTTTCTCTCTTTCTCTCTCTCTCTCTCTCTCTCTCTCTCTCTCTCTCTCTCTCTCTCTCTCTATCTCTCTCTCTTTCTCTCTCTCTCTCTCTCTCTCTTTCTCTCTCTCTCTCTCATACATGCGCACACAAACACACACCCACACACACACACACTCACACCCACATGCACACTCACACTCACACACACACGCACAGACGTACACAAACACACACACCCGCGTTTACATACATGGACGTTCACACACGAATAATTATTGGATAGACGTACAAATGATGTTTTTCTCGTGCACGTGACAGTGATTAAATGAATTTTAATAACTGTTGATTCTTGCTGTTTTTAAAGATAAAATGTTTACTTCTAACAGATGTCTAATATTCAGAATTAAAGGGTGTTTAGTGTCAGTAATGATCTTCTTTGCTGCTTTCCCAAGATTGATTATGTAAAGCTTAGTGAAAGAAAAGAGTGAACTATTTATAGCTGCTTTCCGTTTAAACTTTCCAAATGTAACTGTGGTTGTTCAGAGATGTTATGGTCATAATATGAAATGCTAGAATTAATTAAGCTTTCAAGTGTTGCCCTGTGAGCTTTTGCCAATATGTGGGTACCTAAAATGTTGCTCAGAGGATTGATGATACAGTTTTTAATATTTCGTTTTTACTTGAATTTTTCTATTCATGTATATCTCCTCCTATAAAAACATGTATTTACAAACCTACAGACGGCATGCTAAGCTGTGTAACTGGCGTTTACGTAACATCAAGTCAAATTCCTTCAGACATAACTACAGGATAATCCAAAAAAAACTTTACAACTTTTTTTGTAAATATTTTCCTGATATTCATTTCAGATGATTCCACTAAATAATTCTGCAGTATAATGGGCATTAAAAAAACAACTCATTTTTTGCTTTTGTCCCTTTTTATTACGCTGTGCCCCAGTACGCATTACCACAAAATGTTGTAACAATTGCGTCATATTGCAAGCTACTGCAGTCTAACAGGCCAACTGCAGTTTGCAGACATTATTTTTCAAGCTCCTTTTGTTTATCCAAATCATGGTTCAGTTTAATAAGGAGCTGAGAGCATTTTGTATTGAACATTACCTCTCCACAAAATCACCATCCCTGACATTTCGTAAGTCCGCACAAGATACAGGAAGAATGCTAAAGTATCATCAAGGCCTTCTTTTATGGGTGAGAAAATTCTGTCAGTTTGGATGTATAGAAAATGAAAACAAAAAATCTCCAGAAAAAGCGACCGCTTCAGGTCGAATGCGCACTATTCAAACCCCTCTAAACATCGTCAAGGTGCAGAACTCAGTCGCTGAATCTAATGAGACATCTGTCCGCAGACGATGCCTGCTGCTAGGACTTTCGTACATATCGACAGTCCGTTTTCTTAAAGTAGATCTTAACTTACGCCCATACCATATTCATGTTAGGCAAACGTTTCGTGAGACTGACCGGGGACAGAGGACGGCAATGTGTCGGTGGTTCCTCGACCGCCTTGGAGAACGCGAGAGTTTCTTAGATGACATCTGGTTCAGTGATGAAGCACATTTTCAACTTTCAGGATATGTAATCTCCAAAAATGCTGTCTATTGGGCATCCCACCCTATGCTGTCTCTTGGGCATCCCACCCACCTCCATTTTTTTACTGTCTCCAGAAGCCACTCAATGCTGAAAGGTGTACAGTGTGGGTGGCTTTAACTGATTCCGTCCATGATTTTTTCAGGCTCAGGACAGAATTATTTTTCCCTGTTCAGTTTTAGACTTGGGGTGCATCTATTTAATGCATTACTGTGAAGCTCTAAGTTACTCTAATATGTATTGTCATATACCAAACTGATGGGAATAAATAGAAGAATCTGTTTATATCAATAACAATGACCTATAATCTGTTTGTATTGAATTTTCCTTCTGACAAAAACGAATGAGAAAAAAAAATTGCGCAACAGCTCTTCTAAAATTTCGACTTACTGCTTTTTCTCAGCTCTACAAGTCCTTATAATCCATAGGAATCAACACAACATTGTAGCAATATCACCCTAGCACACATTTATGCAAGAATTTCACAAATTTAGTTGAATATCTTTCTTTGAAGAGCCTTTTTATTATACCAGGCTCCGTGTTGTTTACCCTTTGACCTAGCCTACATCGCAACAACAAAACAACGATTTTTGGAAGAATTTTGCGGAGTTTCGATCGATATTGGTGCTCAGAGATTGAGGTCAGGTTAAAAAGTAGGAACTATGTTAAAAAGTGCACCTTTGTTTCGGATTTTGTTGAGCCGCTCACAGCGGCCGAATGGAGGCAGCGGAAAAACTCAGAGCCGCTGTCAGCGGCCGAATGGACGGAATCAGTTAAGCACTCATGGTTTGGTGGGTCCCCCTTTTTTTTAAAGACGCAGACGGACATGTTGCAACTGTGAACACAGACCGATATATCGAGGTGCTGAAAAAATTCTGGACGGATCTGGGGAGACACCGGCACTTCAATCACAGGGACCAGTGGTTCATGCAAGATGGAGCCAATTCCACACGTTTCTGTCAGATCAATGACATTGCTAGCTGACCACTTTGGAGATCATGTGATCAGTCGCACAAGTGAACACATTTGGGCTCCGCTTTCTCCTGACCTGAATCCTTTAGACCTTTTCTTGTGGGGCTATCTGAAGGACAGGATATTTCAAAACCAGTTTGAAATCATTGAAATTATGAAACAAGCCATCCGTGATGAAGTGAGAAACATTCCATGGGAACTGTGTTTGGCCGTCATCGAGCATTTCAAACGACACGTTAAAAGATGTTTGGAGTCCAAAGTAACAAAAATGTTTGTTCTTTATCTCCCTTTATCACAGCCTTGGAATCAGTCAGGGCAGAGAGTAAACATTGAACGATATTATGCTCGTTCCAGGGCCCCAAAATGGCTGATAGAAATGAAGTCCCTGGGAATCGAAGTTGCCTTGCGAAATGACTTCACGAGTTATGCTTGAAAATGAACACCTAGAAGGCTCACAAAAAAAACCAACAACAGATATTGCACCACAAATAATGCAGTTATAGTAGTAAAAGTGTAGAAGGACGAGTTTTTCAGCAATTATTTCATTGTTGAACTTGACAACACAAAAAGTACGAACTCGACGTGTCATGTTTTGCATTCTAAAAATTCATCGATTTCAGAAATAAAAATATTTGTAAGATTTCTTCTGACGGGCCGACTGCTATTTCTATGCTCCCATAGCTGAAACATCATATAGAGCACAACATATGTACAACTTTCAAAGTTGTAGCACCATTTTTATTGGAATTGGAAAGGATTTTTTGAGGTATATGAAGAAGTCCCCAGCTATTGGCAAAGGCTCATGTAGAAAGTCTCCATTATGTTATTGTCTATATTGTCTGTTTCAAATAACTTTAATTTTCTTTAAAAACATAGCCACTGATTAGCCTTTTTTATAATACTGAGACCATGGTCGTTCCAGGACAGCTTGTTGTCTATAGTGATTCCTTAGTATTTGTATGCCTAGTTGACCTCAACGGTCTCGACTTTTATTTTTAAAGCTGGAACATTGTGGTCAGAAGGTCTAAAATATAAACAAAATCTCTTTGGTTTTACTCACATTTACTTTCATATACAATTATCCCCTCACCATGTGACAAATGAATTCGCTTCCTCAAAGAACTTTTTTATGTTGAAATGGATGAACCCTAAGCATAAGGTGGATGAATCGTCAGAAAATTTAGTGACGCTGTTATCTGTTTGAGTGTTTACTTAGTCACCAATGTACTTGGAAACTAGGGACTGGACACAACCCTGAGGTGCACCAGTAGTAAAGTTTCCTATTGCAGAATCAAACCCGTGTCTTCTGGAGAGCCTTACCTATACATCACAGTGGCTGGCTGATGTGACTGGTCAGTGTATACCATATTATCTTAAAAAAATGGAAATCGGCAGGAATAAACGTAAATTGTGTACTGATGAACAATGTCCATAGTCAAAGGAGAATTGATGCCCGGTGGAATCCTTTTATAACTTCTTCATTAAAAGTATAATGCGACAAAGGGGTCCTATAACATCATTTTGCCACCTGTTTTATGTTTAGGGGGGGGGGGGAGATGCGGTTACCAGATGTAATCTTGGTGAGATGATGTATTTATGTTCCACGAGGTGAGTGTTGGGAAGCTAAAATGTACAGGGCTTTTGATCCTGAATGACTTAATAGAATGAAACATGAACATTTTTTTCCAAATCTTTGCTTCCAATATGATGTCATGTCATTTGTTTATCCTCAGGAAATTGAGTCACTCTATGAGGAATTTAAAGACTGTAAGTCAAAACTACAAGTCCTGGAAACATCAAAAAGACAATTGCAAAGTAAGTTTTGGAACTTTGGCCTCCTTTTTACCTGTTTTATGAGTCATCTGTATATTTCAGTGTGATGTATGTCCATAAAACGGAACAAAATGGTCTACAAACTGGACCTTACTTCAATCAAACAAACAAACAAACAAACACACATACACACATACGCACTCACACACTGAGTGTGGGTGAGTGAGTGCGCGCGCATGCGCGTGTAGGTCATGTATCCCAACTCTGACGAAATCCAACCAAGTGCTCACATTTTAAAAATCCGTCAAAGGGCACAGTAAAATGATTTAGGAAAATGAGAACCATTTGTGAATCTGACAAGGTTACAGGAGAATCCCACTATTCGTTACAGAAGTTCTGGGCAGTCAAAGAATGCGCTTTATGTGGCGACAGTCATGAGAGACACACTCTATTGCTCGACGTTGAAATGTGATTTACTACCTTCTTGCCTTCTGGCGCTGTTCTCGAAGAATTTTATTTGTCGAGCAATGTGCTCCCCGTTTTGCCTCAGTTCACAATGGCTTGGAAAAGTCTGGACACACATCTGCATCACAGTTGGAAGTCCAACGGGTTCAGGCTGGGATTGTGTGAAGCTCACGCACAAGGTATACCGCAACTTCTGTTGAAGTGATTCTGGTTCCACTCGATGACTAGAGCTTACAGTGTGCTCCTTCTTGCTTGAACCACGGTCGTTTCCGCTCCTGAATCTTCCCAATGATCTTCAACACCAATCAAGAATCTTCACATATTAATCTACTACCACAGTTGCTATACCATAGTCTTCAAACATGAACCAGTTCGGACCAATTAATCCTACTGCAGCCCACGCATTCTGTGTGCACAGGTTGCGGTCAACGACATTGTCTGATATTTCTGAACTCCAGTGAATGTCATTTCTTGTGTTGACGTCTCTGTTTAAATAAAACTGGGCTTCATTACAGAACCGCTCTTTCTATGAATGAATGATCATTATCATTAACCTCTAGAAACCATAGCCACCGTTTGATCTGTTCCCTGGCGTGGGAACCGGAAATGGCTTGGTATATCGAAATGGCATGCCTTCAAATCGTGAGCGTGTATTAAAATTTTGTCAACAGAAATTTTTCGAAAGATGGAGTTCAACTCTCCGACGACTAACCATGTCGTTCACCTTTCCTTTTGTTAGACACAGATACACATGTGCGGCCTTTTGAAATCTACATACCTTCCAAGGATAGTGTTGTTTGATGGCAGACTGCAGCCCGTCCTATTGTTGAAGTTCGACAAAAACGTTTTGTTCTATGAGGCATGCCATTTTCACTTATTATCCTATCGTGAGTCTCAAGATCTACGCTTGTCCAGTTGCCCCTCCCCTTTACTTTATTTGTCTAAAATTGATAGCTTTCCATCTCTGACCGAGTTCCCCCGTCTTTGTCGTTATGCACCGTTACGTTACAAATGCGTCGGTCAGTTCCAACCTCTGTGTGATCCGTCTTGAGCTAAACATTGTACCGTTTCATCGAGTTTTACAACGTATGTGATCACATTCAAGAGAGTGGCTGATCTTTGACGCGACAGGCAGTTCAATGATCGCAACTTTTCACTCGTGGTTGATTGGCTGTGTCCGCCCGGGTGTTTGTTCCGTAAATAATGATTTGAAATGCGGCATCGTAGCCCAATGTTGACCGTCAGAGTGACTCAGAACGGGATCTTATTGGTCACTTTTGTATAGTATAATTCTGTTTTCTTATCTTAGGCGGAGAGTAAATTACAAGATGTAATTCGCATTTTCAAACTTACTAACTTTCAAATTTGATGTCGATCGTGTAACAAATGATTGTCAAGAGCTTTTGTTTGAACTTCACTAGAGTTGGAGCAACTGATACAGTGTGTGTGTGTGTGTGTGTGTGTGTGTGTGTGTGTGTGTGTGTGTGTGTGTGTGCGTGAGCGTGTGGGCATTTGTGTGGGTGTGTGTGTGTGTGTGTGTGAATGTGTGTGTGTATGTGTATATTGTATATATACATTCACCGGTGTGGTTCTCGGGGCCCTGTCCAAGAGACAGGGGAGCAAAGAATAGGACCACTATATCCGTACCGCGCATGTTGAAGAAGGCGACTAAGGTCAGCTGGGCAAAGGATTAGCAGCCCTTTCCCGTAAAACAAAAAGCAGCTACAAAAACATCAACAGCAAAAACAACACAACCGCCAACTCTGGAAGATGGAGGACCTTCATCACCGAAGAGAGGAGAGAATATTATGGAGTGTAGAATGACAGGGTGGTGAAAGCCGAAAGGAAGCCACCAAGCTGAGAAACCTCCTGTCGACCAGAAGACCAAAGATGACATGGAGGCGAGTGGTATGCGGGAATGGAAAAGGGGGGGACATCATGGACACAGCTAGAAAAGGATGCACAAGACAGGCTTCAGAAATGTTGTTGATGGCCTATGCTTCACTGGGAGTTAAAAAGGGCAAGAGAGAGATATATATACGTTGTATGTATATTATTATTCATATTATATATATAAATAAATAATATATCAGTGTCTGTGGTGTAGCGGTTACGTGCTTTTCCGTCGCACGCAGAAGACCCAAGTTTGATTCCCAAATAGAGAGAATCTTTATAGGGTGTCTCAGTCTTTCTTCTGGGATGTTGTTTCCTAATCAGCCCAGGTTGGCCCTGATAAGCAGGAACAAGAGTTTGCCTTCTAAATGATCCAAGCTGTGTTAATGGAGGCGTAAAACACCTAGCTTTCAAAATGAAAATAATGTGTATGTATAATACAGAAAGACACGTACACATACAGAGAGAGAGAGAGAGAGAGAGAGAGAGAGAGAGAGAGAGAGAGAGAGAGACAGAGAGACAAAAAGACAGAGAGACAGAGAGACAAAAAGATAGAGAGACAGAGCGAGAGAGAGGGGAGGGCAAAAGAGAGAGAGAGAAAAGGTAATGGTAGAGAGAGGGAGAGGGGGCGGAGTCAAGTACAATCCTCCCATTTCTCCGTTTTAACTCTCCTTCTCTAAAGCACTCGCTGTTATAATGTTAATATAGAGCAACATTTCGTTAGGTTTAGCTCACTAGCACTGTGAGAACATAATATAATACTCTATTGATGAGATCAGAATGATAAAAAACCTTGAACCAGGCCTCTCGTCGTGTAAGCTATTTATTTTACTTTGAAAGGCATGGTCACTTTTCCTAAAGAGCCCGGATCTGTCATTCCGCGTGTTTTCTTTTACTCATCCGTTCCTCATGTCACCCAACCATGGAACAGAACCGTACATTGAATGCATCTGGAATGCAAGCTCGGATGTTTGTACGTATTCGAGGGCCTCTTATTGAGGACCCAAAAGTGACACCGTTTTTCTGATAGGTCATACTCATACTGTACATGCTATTGCAAAAATGCTCTACAGTGTGCATGTCATGTCCTTCTGACCGGCTCGCAGGACAAACTGTTACGTTAGGTCGTAGGTCGCTTGAATATCTGATTGATGCATGTGGGATGATTTGTTAAAATGAATGAGAAATGAGGCAAAGGATTCCTTCTCTTTTCTGAGAGTCCGATTTTGAAGGATGCGAGGTTGACTGTGCATCGGTACGTTGTCTTTTCCAATGATACTTTATTACTGTAGTTAGTGCTGAAGCAATCTCTATTCTTTTGAAAGAAATGCTTGTTCTGTATGGGATTTTCATACGATTGAGCCTGCTAATGGTCTTCTGATTATGTTCATGAATGAACGTAACAATGCTATGCACTTTGTAGTGCAAGCCTCACCAGGACTACACTTTTCAACACTACAACTACTGGTAGCAAGCAAGAAGTTTATCAAGGACCACTAATCAAGTTTTAGATACTGGACAACTCCGCAAAGCATCCCTGGCACTATAATATAAAAGCGAAACTATACTCTACTGGTCCAGCACTAGACACACACAAATACATTATTGCAACACATCATTCCCATGCCTTTCCACCCACCCCCACCCCTCTCTCTCTCTCTCTCTTTCTCTCTCTCTCTCTCTCTCTCTCTCTCTCTCTCTCTCTCTCTCTCTCTCTCTCTCTCTCTCTCTCTTCTTTATTTCTATCTCTCTCTTTCTATCTCTCTCTTTCTCTCTCTCTCTGTCTCTCTCTCTCTCTCTCTCTCTCTCTTTCTCTATCTCTCTCTCAATCTCTCTCTCTCTCTCTCTCTCTCTCTCTCTCTCTCTCTCTCTCTCTCTCTCTCCCCTCTCTCTCTCCCCTCTCTCTCTCCCCTCTCTTCCTCCACCTCTCTCTTTTTCCCTCAGTAGGCCTTACTTACAAAATAATGACACGCATCATGATAATGGTAAGGACAAACATTGATAATAAACGTGAAATGAAATATGACTATGAGAGTAAAAACGACTCCTTATATCGTGCAATACACGCAAAAAGGGGAACTTAGCCTAGATTTACTTGCTCTGTAACCTACAAAAAAATGAGGGATCAGAAACAGGATTATTATGTTTTGTCAAATACAAAAGCGAATTACATGGTTTCATCAGTGGCAGTACTTCAAACGACTCTAATCGAAAGAAGAAATGACGGTGATCGTAAAGTACTGTTGGAGACCATAATAATATATCGCACGGCATTCACAACTAAGTGTTGACGTCATATGATATCATTTGTAGCAACGGGGTTTCGTTTTGTTCAAGACAACCCAAAATTTACAAAAAGAGGAGCCCTGTATCTTGCGTATATGTTCTCAACTGTCAGAAATACATAAATCTTGATAGTCTTGATCGTTTATTGTCTTGAAAGAAGAAAAGCTTGGGAGCACCACGATACTAAACATGTTAGGGTGACACGGAGACACATGGTTCTTTTCACGTTCTAATTATGGGCTAATTTGAAGAAAACGCGCCAACTTTTGAATAGGTGCCCTCTGGAAAACGCCTCTAACAGTGAATTCTTGTCTTTTTTAGAATGAAACTTCAAGCAATATCGATTCTTTAGATATTCAGGTACCGAAAAATGGACACAGTTAAAAATCGAATTTTCGACTCAAATATCATGTTTTGCAGACCCGTGATATGCCTTAATAGGAAAAAAAAAAGAACAAACCACACCCCGGAGCACCCGCCAACGTCCTGGTTGAGTTATGCATGTACGATCGAAACTGCTTTCAATTTTGATCATTTTTTTGCCAATAGCAAATTAAAGAAGTCTTTAAAACAAAATGAGTGGAGTTTTTCTTTTGAAAATCGGACCATTATCATGGAAAGTGTGCCAATTTTTTGTGTGGATAATAGGAATCGGACTCTCGACATCTCGCTTATAACGTAATTAAACGGTAAATAGAATATTACCCTTAATGTACTTGACTTTTATTGTTATGTATAGATTTTACATAAAACAACAAACAAAGTGATACCTTAATGGTTACGATACAACTATTATTAAGGATTTTATGACGTTTTGAAGCAATATTTGGAAGTTTGGTGGCACAAAATGCAGTGCAAAAATTTGGCCTAATCAGGGCGAAAATTGATTTACAAAAATGGTCGCTGCTTTTGAACTAACAAAGATAGCACAAAAATTTAAAAAGCTCTGAAAACAGAAAGCCAAGCTCTTTCCCATAATTCTAATTTCAGTGCCCTTGGAGAAGTTTGAAAATTTCACTGAAGTGCCTACTGGGAGTGTGAGTCACCACAAGCGAGAGGAGATTCTCAAGACATACATGGCCATGGAGAAGAATGAACAAGAATTGAAGGAAAACATCTTGGAGGGTGTCTTGTATGTGAGTAATGCAGGGCTGCTTTTTTTCTTTTCCGATAGTTGCTGATTTTGTACCTCTGTTCTACTGCCATACCGAGAAAAGTGTCAAAACTACTGAATATGCGATTGGTGCCGAAATCAAAAGAAAAAAAATGGCCCATTCGTCTGTGTCTTTTATGTAAATGCACAATTCTAAAAGTTCCTTACATGCATCATAGATCTAGCCTGTTAACTCCATCTGTAAAAACCCCCAACAAATTAGGATAGTGTTGACCCATTGATATTCTGTGACAAAAGATCCGTACTTGCCTTCGTAACTTCTAGGATAAGTACAAACATTTGTGGTAACTCTCAGCAATAAGTTGTGTTAGAAGCTTGCCAGATTGTGCTTTTCCTGCATTTGACCATTGTCCCTCTCTGCATCCATTGTGGGTTTTTTTCGGCAATACATTTTCACATGACATACGAATTAGAAATCTAGTTAAAATCTGGCTTGTCAAAATAGCGAATCTTTAGCCTTTCTTTCATACACTCATTCTTTCTGTCTATCTTCTGTTCTTTGCTGCAGCTGAAAAATATGTGCGTTAATGAAGAAAACTGAATTGTGAATTTTATGAATTTGGAAAGAAAATTGTTGTCAGATATGAACTTTTTTCAAATCTGTCAGGATCTAGTAAAATGTTCAGTAAGGAGGCTTGTTTGGGAGCAGGATAAGGCCCCCCACTTTAATTTGAAGAAACTCTGGTCAGTGTGAATGTATAAGAAAATCTTTTAAACGGCTGCTACTGGAGTGTCAAAGGAGACTGTCTCTTCATTTTTGTACGAATATAAACCCTATATTGTACGTAAAAGTCAGTTTTAATGTCAGTTGAAGGAACTGCCTTGGAAAATCTAGTAGGGTAACTCAAAAGAAAAGCAAGAAAGATAACTTCATAGTTTTTGCCAAATAAGTCCTCCTTTTATTGTAGAAATTGCCAATCTCCTGTGGTAACTAATGGTTACTCATCATCTATGATAGTCTCTTATTTTGCTGCGGCTGGAAAATCTGTGCTTTTAATTCATATACCTAGAAAAAAGAATTGTGAATGTAGAAAGAAAATCGGTATCAAAGCGAAACATTCTAAAGTCTGTCTTGGTCTAGAGAATATGTCTGTACCAAATGAGGATTCTACACAGGAGGGGACTGCGAGAATTACCTGGGAATCTGAAAAAAAATCGCCGAGACCCTAGAAAATGCACAAAGTCCTCGAAACCAAATCTGAAAAAGCTACTGAGTTCATATTTACCTATTGGGTTCGTGATATTACAATAAAGTCTATGGCAACAGGATAAGGCCATGGTACAAGAAACTGATGCTAAAATAAAAACGATAAGTGGAAGTGGTTTTGACGTTCGACAATCGAGTTCGTAAATGAGGGAACATTAGAATACTGTCTTGATGATTGTATTTCAAGGTTGGTGTTCCCGGATTTGTCGGATTTGTCAATGATGACAAATTGAATAGTGGCAATGAGGAAATGCCATTTTTAACCCTCGGAAAGCTCTATTTTGGATACCTATGATTCATGATGGCTTGTTGCTGATTAAAAACTGGTGCTGTGATTTAGCATTCTGAAAAAAGTCAGTACTTAGTCCATGATGCAGTTATTCACTGATTGCCAGGTTTTCAGCATCACTACATCCAACGCTCTCGCAGTCCTTCCAGCTCCGGCTATCAGTATATTATGCTCTCTTCTATTGTCACTTTTTGCGCTGCCGTGAGCCTTACTATAAAGGTTTTATAAATGTTTTGTCTTGCATGCTTTTTAAAATCCGTGATAGCTGAAACCAAACGTGGTTTTGGCAGTTGATGTTCTTCTTGCCTCTCCTGAGGCCCAGATCAGGATTCATTTTTGTAATTTAGGACAAAACTAGTTAAAATTGTCTGTCGTACCTAAGTCACATAGGACTTATCAGTGTCCTATGCTAGTGTCGGAAAATATATTTAAATCTATTGGTATGGGCTAGGGGATTTGAAGTCAGTTTGGCAGTCACCCTGCACTCAATTCCAGATTCAATACTGAAGGATAGGTGCCTTGAACGATAGCCAATAATTGCTTAAAAAAACCCAACAACAACATCCTTGTCTCATTTCATACACACTGTTCATCTTAACTTGTGAACACCCAAACACCCCCTTCCCCTCCCCTCATATAAACACACACAAGAGCATGCGCGTGTGCACACACACACACGCATGCACGCACGCACGCACGCACGCACGCACGCACGCACGCACGCACGCACGCACGCACGCACACACACACACACACACACACGTTTTCAAAGTATAATAACCCAATATCACGAAAAACAACGATCATCTTTTTTTTTCCTCTTTGTCTTTGTACGACCTGATTTTGGGCCAAAATACCTGAAACTGACCCTGAATCTACCTGAAATGGGAACTTTGAGTTAGGCAGCCCTGTAGTACCTGTCCATTCAATTTAGTAGCAGCCAATCATTTTTAGAAGCCACCCATCAACTAGTATATGTGAGACGTACTGACAAAACGAGTTACTTCTGGGATACAAGCCTTAAGGAAATAGATACATCATATATAGGTATGAAATAATAAAAGACAGGTTATAGTTAAAGAATATATAGCATCAATAGAAAATCTGCAAATTTGACCCTAATGTCGATTTTGGGCCAATATTTCCACTCGTGGATTACGAGAAGTAACTCATTTTGTAAGTATGCCTCACCTATATTTCTCTGTAATAGATTCCCATCTTCAAAGTAGTTGCCCATTGCTTTTAGTTTTAAACAGAAGAGGCTGTCCATCGACTATATATAGTAATTGTCAGTTGTAGCCTACCATCATCTGTTGTAGTCCCCCCCATTGATTGTAGTAACTAGGCTTTGGCTGTCTTAGCTGACCATCATCTGCAGTAGCTGCCTGTTGACTGTTGCAAACATCCATCAACAGCTCTGCCGTAAGCTGACAAAAAGCCTTTTTTTTTCTTTTTTTTTTTACTTCACAGCAGTTTCGAGAAAAAGAGTTTTTTTTATCAGCATAATTATTTAAAAATAGAGTGATTCCGAAATTTGAATTTGAATTCATTCAAAAACTAGTCACAGTTTCACTTTGATTTTTTCACACAAGTAAGGTTACTGATCAGACTTTCGATAAAAGCAAATATAATATTTTGATGCCAAAATGAAAAAAAGTCGTCTTGTCTGCTTACTGCTGAGCTGCTCTTACTCTAGACCGTTTGGTTGAGGAGCTTGGTTGACATGAAAATAATCAGGTTTCAAATCTGAATGAGGTCTTAATTTTTCAAGCCTTTGGAGAATACTTTACCTCTCAGCTGTATTCTATGATGGGGATTCTAGATTAATGCAAAATAAGGCGAAAAATGAGACAAGTAGTCACCTGTGTATTTGCCATTTACTGCTCCAAGTAGCTAGACTTCTATCAATAATGTTTGTTATCGAACTGCTTCATTTCTGGAGTGTTTGTAAGTGTGTATTTTATGTCTATTCGAGTGTGAGTCTGCGTGTGTGTGTTTGTGAGCTTGTTGAAGTATGTGTGCATGTGTTTGTGGTCACGTGGGCTTTAATGTAGGTAAGTCTCTCTGTGTGCGCTATGCTTGCCTTCATGTACATTCATACCTACATTTGTGTCTGTGTTTCCTCACATGTTTTTCCATGTTAACACTAAACCTATATAACTTTATCCAGAGTTCAACTGAAAGGCTTCGTGAATTTGTGGCATTCTTCAAGGAAGTTGAGGATTGTTTGGAAAGTTCTATAAAAAATTTGAGGCAGGCTTTCGCTTTTTCTCGGTGCACCTCGCTGCTGTTTGAGGACGACGATAAAAAGTCTCTCATGTGCAATTTGAGTGAAAAGTGAGTACAACTCAAGTTTTAAACTCTTTTTCAAACTGTTTAGCTGTCCACATTCCAAAAAAAGATCACAAATCAGATGACAGGCAACTTACTTTAATATTATGTACGAGGGACGTCCAGAAAGTTAGTACCTTTTTAAAATAATTATAAAAGAAATAATCTTCCCAGTCAAAACTAATTATTTTTTAATACCTCATATATATGACTACTTCTCCATGTAGTCACCAGAACTGTTGAAGTATTTGTCGTAGCGTGGGACGAGCTTCTGAATGCCCGGATCGTAGAAAGCTGCTGCTTCCGACGTCAGCCAATATCAAGTCTCTCCTGTGAGATCAGTGTCTGAGTCGAAGTCCTGCCCGGCCAAAAACTTTTTCAAAACATGCAGGAACAGATGAAAGTTACTCGGAGCCAGGTCTGGGCTGTACGATGGGTGCTTCAACTGTTCCCACCCCAAGGAGGTGATCAGGTTTTGGGTCGGTGCAGACTTGTGAGGAGTTGCTTTGTCGTGATGCAGAACAACACCGTTGCTAAGCATTCTGCTTCTTTTGTATTGAATCGCTCTACACAGTTTTTTAACCCTCGTCCTGCAGGAGCCGGGTTTATGTGGCCCGATAAGCCTATTTCGGCACCTCGACTACGTTCTAGTCCCGAATCAGTGTAGCCCCTGACTCAGCACACGTGCAGCGCGCATCATCTTACGTGTCACACGGGTCCCAAGTCGGATCCCCATTCACGCAGGTCAAGTGTGTGTGCGTCAGTCTGCTTGAGTCTGTGGGCGTTTGTGGCCTTTTTCTAGAACCGCCTGCATTGGTTCGTAATCAAGGCATGTGTCTCATTCAAAACATGCCAAGCTGGTAGCTCTAGATGTTCGTTCAATGAAATTATAGAAGAAATTGACCCACTTAGACATGAGGAGCTCGAAAGGATAGTCAGGAAACAAGACTTCCATTTTTCTATGCAAAATCTTTCAAATGAGCTTGATTTTGTATGAAATGATACTACCTGATAAAAAATAAGCTTGTTTGATAGTTTAGAATACCATTGTGCAGGTACAAAGAACAATTTGATTGTAAAACTTTCGGAAATTGACCTATATTATCCCCTTTCGAACCCCAGGTCATTCATAACAACTAGAGCATCCAGAAAGGTTATTCGAATGAGCGTAACTACTCGTAATATCTTATCAGCTTGTGAGAGGGGGTTATTCATGTGTTTGTAACACTCAATAAATAGAAAGCTATGAAAGATAGAGCGTTATTTTCATCATCGGTTAACACACTCCCGCGGTATTCATGGCGAAAACACACGTTTCCCGGCGCGCGCGCGCTGTACACCAACAGTACACACTGAGTGACCCCGGCGGCCTGCCCGGCACGTCCGACATAATCGGTTGCTGATAAGATTCGCATCTCGGCACAGACGCAGGACAAGAGTTAAGTGTGTTGCAGTACACGTGAAAGTTAATTGTCATCCCGTTTCCCCAAAATTCTACTAAAAGAACCCCTTGCCTGTCCTAAAACACTGTACACATGACTTTTTTTCCTGACGTGGCCTGTGTAGAGCGTTTCAAAACCAAAGACGCGGAATGCTTAGCGATTGCGTTGTTCTGCTTCACGACAATGCAACTCCTTACAAGTCTGCACAGACCCAAAACCTGATCGCCTCCTTCGGATGGGAACAGTTGAATCACCCATCGTACAGCCCAGACCTGGCTCAGAGTGACTTTCATCTGTTCCTGCATGTTTTGAAAAAGTTTTTGGCGGGGCAAGACTTCGACTCAGACGTTGATCTCACAGGAGAGACTGGACATTGGCTGACATCGCAGGCGGCAGCTTTCCACGATGAGGGCATTCAGAAGCGCATCCCATGCTACGACAAATGCCTCAACAGTTCTGGTGACCACTTGGAGAAGTAGTCATATATATGAGGCATTAAAAAATAAATCATTTTGATTGGGAAAATTATTTCTTTTTTAATTATTTTAAAACGGTACTTACTTTCTGGACGTCCCTCGTAGCATGTGGCAATATCTCCTTCTGATCTATAAGACCGACTTTTGATGTTTTTATGATCACACTGAAGTATTTTTTTTGGGTCTGTTTACATTGCAGTCTTTATAATGCCAAAATGTAAGAAGTCTTGTTACAGATTACCAATACTGATGATGTTACTTGTTTTGGACAAGACCAGATGACTTTTTATCTTATTTCTTGTATGTTTTTGCTTTGTCTGTGACTCCTACCCTTTTAACTTGTGAGTCTGTCATAACTAAGTGACTCAAACATAATATATATGGCTGTTTCTTTGTGTTCGAACGTAATTTAAAAGAAACTTTGAGGTGATGATTAAAAAAAAAGATTTTTAAGGCCTGCTGATATTGTAAAACTGGTGAGAAAAGAGGCTTGATATCTGAGCCATCGAACAGGGAGATGCTGCGAAGACCAGGGTAAAAAAAAGGATATAAATGGGGTTGTATAGGAAAAATAACATTTATAATTATTGCTTTTTCACTTTTGTCTGTCCACGGTTTAAACAGGATAAAAACAAATTGCCCTGTTTAATCTTCTAGAGTCTTTACACGCGGGTCTAAAAGTTGGATTACCAACAAAATTTTAAAGCACATTAATAAATTAATGAAGGTCACTGCAATCTGATGTTCCAACACATATCCTTTGATTTTTTTGCTTAAGATGGGTTGAAAAAGGAAATCTGCAGCATACACCTAAAACATACACAAGTTGACATATTTTATCAACACTACACGTTAGCGCAAGTCTATGAAATATGGCTCAATAAATGGGATGCATTTGAAAACATCATTTAAACAGTCTTGAGGGGAAACTACCAAAGCCGTGCATTTTCGAGAAAAAATTGTCAAAACCGCGCACTTTTTGACGAAATCGATACAATTAGATCGCGGATTCTATCCAACAGTTACAGTCCCCTTGAGAAAATTGCCCTGTACAGCCACCATAGAAATATTATATTAATTGTCTTTTTGCAGATGCTAAGCAATATCCAGACCATTTCTAAGCTGAAACTAAAAACAGATCAAACAGAAAGGCACTACCAAAAAAGAAGGGACAGTGCAAGTCTCACAGCCTCAGTTTTTATCCTGAATGAGCAAGAAAGTGCTGCCCCAACACTTTAAAGATCGCCCGTGTCCTGTAGATATATTTTTATTCCTGACAGGCCTACTTATTCAATACAAAATCTAATTGATATCTGGTTCCAAGCCCCGAAAAACGCTGAAGGTACTTAAATAATTGTTGGATGGTAATGTTTAGGTAATTGGCAATCTAATTGTATCGATATTGTTAAAAAGTGCGCAGCTCTGATAGTGTGCTACTCTGATAGTTTTTTCCTGAAATTGCGTGGCTCTGATGTTCTCCGTGGGGGGGGGGGGGGGGGGGAATTGCTGGTGTTTACACTGAAATGTAGGAGCAGGATGGTGACACTGTCTCAAAATGAGCAATTTGTAGGCTAGGTTATTGTAAATCATTGATTGCTGAGATCCTGTGTATGCACTCAAAGGGCGGTGTTTGAAATGGGGCCTAAATAAAAAAACTTTAAAAAATAATTTGGACATTTGGGTCGAGTTTAAAAACTAAAACTATTCTTGTTTGGTGATTGGCCAGCAGGAGTGCCATGCAAAATTACGTGGTCAGTGGCTTATTTATAGACGAGCTAGAATTTTTTTAAAAACCTGACGGATGAAAATGAAAAAGGATTGGATAGGTGACAAGTGCTGCTTTAGTAGGTATGTTTCAAAACAGTGAAATAATGTTACTGTGAGAAAGTAATAGTCAGAAGGTAAGACTGGTGGTGTTAGTTTCTGAAGAAACCTTATTTTGATGTCCATAGGCTCCCCTTTTGATGTCCATAGGCTTCCCTTTTGATGTCCATAGGCTTCCCTTTTGATGTCCACAGGCTTCCCTCTGACTTCAGTCAAAGACATTTTGACTGAATTTTGACAATAATAATATAGTGAGATTATTATTAAGCAGTCTAACTTCTTTTTTTTGTCAGGCTTCACAAAACGTTCTGCATTGCCGAGAATGTTGTCAAAGTGGCAGATACACTGGTCTCGCAGGTCTCAAGTTCAGAGGATCAGGTGTCACAGTTGAATGATTCCAGGATGGAGCTCACTGAACTATGGTGTCAGCTTATAAAAGAGAAAGTATACGTTCCATGCAATGACAGTATTTTATATATGTGTTATGTTTTCCAGGCTGATGCATTTGTTATATCCATGTCCCAGACTTCATTATGTGTCACAACATGGTGGAATCAGGTGCTCCTCAATTTTGGCCTTCGAGCTATTGGTGTCAATTAAAGCTTGTTCATTTGTCTAGCTTTTGATAAAAAAAAAACATTTTAAAAAACTCATCAATTTTGAATAGGAGTCAAGATATTTGTGATAGAAGGAGGTAGGGGTCATTTTGTGTCAGAGGTTAAATTAGCAAGAAAATAGCCAACAAAGTTTGGTGGTTTCTTAGCTTGGTTGTCATTGGAAACTTCCAAATTATATTTTTAGTGCCTGTGATCGATGTTTCTCTGAACAATCTACACAATACTGTGTCTTTAAAAGGAGGTAAATGGTACTGAGCCCTCTCCCTAAAATAAAAAAATCCAAAACAACCCAACGAAAGACGAGTGTCTGGTTTTACAGCAATGCCACTCATGTGTATTTTCTGTGTTCATATTCTTGTAAGGGTTTTGTCAAGATTTGAAATTTGTAGAATTGAATCCTGATTCCGTTAGTGTATGTAAAAAGATATCATCATCAATGCCTTTCACCCCTGTCAGGGTATAGGCCTCATACAAGCTCCTTCCGTTTATCTCTGTCCTGAGCCATCCTTCCAAGCTCGTTCCAAGTGAGCTTTCTCTCTCTCATGTCCCTTTCCACGCATTTCCTCCATGTTTCCCGTGGCCTACCCCTGCTTTGTGCTCCTTGTGGGTTCCACTGCAGTGACTGTCTTGTGATGTTTCCGCTGGGCTTTCTTAAGGTGTGTCCCATCCATCGCCACTTTTTTAGTCCTATTTCCACTTCTATATCCTTTTGTCCTGTCCTTTCCCACAGCTCTTCATTTCTTATTCTATCCTGCCACTTAATTGTTAGAATACTCCTCATACATCTGTTGATGAAAGTCTGGACTTTATTCCGTACTGTCTTTGTTGTCTTCCAAGTTTCGCAGCCGTAGAGGAGCACAGACTTGACGTTGGAGTTAAAGAGTCAAATCTTGGTGCGCAGTGAGATGTTGCTTGCTTTCCAGACTTAATAATTGATTGAATGCTGACCTTGCCTTGGCGGTTCTTTGCTTTAACATCTGCCTCGGTTCCACCTTTACCATCGATGACACTTCCAAAGTAGGTAAAGGAGTCCACATCTTCCAGGAGAGTGTCTTCCATTGTCACAACAGGGCTTGAAACTTTTCCTAGCTTCACTACTTTTGACTTGCCTGGATGTATACGTAGGCCAACACTCCTTGATAGGCTGTTGAGTTCCTTTGTCTTTTCTTGCATCTGAGAATGTGTGAGAGAGCAGTGCAAGGTCATTGGCGAAGTCAAAGTTGTCCAGCTGCTGCCAAGGGTTCCACTGTATTCCATTCACGGCGCACCGGCAGTGGAATTTTAGTTGCCGTGGGGGGTTCCCCGCCGGGCGCCTTATCACGTCGGGGTCACGGGGGTCAGCTCTCTGTCGCCGCTCTGTCTGGGCCGACTTAATTTTTGGTACTTTTCAACGTACAATTTAAGGTGCATCCTTGTATTTATGGTAATTCTCATTTAGTACACCCAAAGCACGCATTTCTGCTCTTGAGACTCAAAAAAGAACGGACGTTGTAACTTGTCTGGTTATTTCGTTAGACATGCTGGAGTTGGCAATGCTAAATTGTAATTTTTTTGGGACTAGCGTGAATGAAAAAAAATCAATATAAAAAAAATGCATTGTCAAAATCTGTCGAACTTTTGGAATATGAACGACATAACATTAGTGCAGATACTCAGAAAAGATGGTATCTGCGCTTATAATAGAAGGCTGTAATTTTGCAATTTTATCCATCGGGCACACAATTCGCTACGAAGTAATTCCTCCAAATACAACTTTATGTGTCTAATATAATCATGAATATTTGCATATTTTCTCGAAAGTTTATAAAAGTTATCATGAAGTTTCTCAATGAAAAGTACAAATCGATTTTAGTGCTAGAATATATCTTCAACGTAGATCTAATACACGAACAGTATCTGTTACACTCCAGAAATTGCTTACTTTTCTTAAAACGCTAAGTCTAGGTTTTGTAAGTTGACTGAATAATAGGGATGACTTCTCGTAATTGGGTTATAAGAATAATTTCTAGCTTTCCAGGGACACTGAATCAGCACCAGACTTTTCCAGCTTTTTTTACGTTTCTATAACCATTTGCAATAACTGACAATGTGACTTATTTCTTTACATTCATAATTGTGTCCGCGCATATTTCCTACACAAAAACTAAGAATGAATGTTTTAGCTGTCATTATTTTTATTCCATACTAGAAGTTTATCTCTACCCATGTATTTACACGGTTTTGTGGTTTTTTAAATCGCTTATATTATATCTTTTTAGTTGTATGCAGGCTGCCACAGACACAGCATGATTCATGAACAAACGCAGAGTAACTTTCTCTTGTTTAATAGTAAAATAAGTGCTAACGCTGATCGTCTTTAGTTAAAATATGCAGATGTGCATCTTTCTTCTCTTATAACTTGACTATTACTACTACCGCAGATTTAAGATTTCTCATGGTAAAAGACATGATATTCGTAGTCAGTTTAACACAGAATTTGGAGAGATCTGTCGTGCCTTTTTAAAAATAACAATCATTTATTCATAACTTTGTAACTAAAATAGGACAAATTGGGTACTCTACAAACACTTGTCTAGAACAAAAACTAAGGCACAGAAACTAACCATTCTAACGCAGAATAAATCTCAAGACATTGAGCTTTTAGTACATTCGCGTAATGGTTTTCTGTGTGGGATGGGGAAGAAGTTATATCGTTTTAAACATAGTCAAAAATGCGAACTTCCCGACCGACACCGGCAAAGTCGCCTCAGGGCTCATTAACCCCGTGACCCCGAGCTGGGGAGCTCTGGCGGGCTGCTGAGTCACGCGAACTAAAAGTAACAGAATCGGGCGAAAAGTGACGCTGTGCATTACGTTTGCCTCTGGTGACTTCTTTCATGACCCAGTCAATTGCCAGTATGAAGAGAAAAGGTGAGAGCAAGCATCCTTGTCGCACTCCTGTCTATACCTGAAATGGTTCTGAGAGTTGTCCTTCGTGGAAGACTTGGCAGTTTGTTCCATCATAGGTGGCCTTCACAAGCTTGACGATTTTGTCAGGTATTCCAAAATGCCGCTTGAGTTTCCACATTTTCCCTGTTCACGCTGTCAAACGCCTTTTCATAGTCAATGAAGTTGACCAGGAGTGGTGAATTCCATTCAAGCGATTGCATGATGAGCAGAGTAGCAATCTGGTCCACACATGATCCGGTTTTTGCTGAATCCTGCCTGGTTTCCTCGAAGCTTCTCGTCTGTTGCCAGCTTGATTCTCTCCAGGAGTATCCTGTTAAAGACTTTCCCTGGTATGGACTTGAGTGTAATGCCTCTGTAGTTGTTACAATTGCTGAGGTCTCCCTTCTTTGGCAGCTTGATTAGGTGGCCTTCCTTCCAGTCTGATGGTATTTCATCCTTTTGCCAAACCTTTTCAAATAGAGTATAGAGACTTTCCACTAACATATCTTTATCTGCCTTAAGGGCTTCCGGTGGTATATGGTTGGGACCAGCTGCCTTGTGGGACTTCAGTGTTTTTATAGCGGCTGCAATTTCCTCTCTTGAAGGTGGTTCCGTAACTATTGGGAGGTCATTTCTGGCTGTAAGAATTTCTGGTTGGCTTTCTGGAGGTGGTCTGTTCAAGAGTTGATCAAAGTGTTCTCTCCATCGGTTAAGTTGCCCCTCTGGGTTGAAGATAGTCTTTCCCTCTTTGTTTTTTCCTGGTAGAGTGGACTTGCTGAACCTACCTGAAAGAGTTTTTGTTGTCTGGTGTACAATCCGCTAGTGCCCGCCTGTTGCTGCTTTCTCTGCCTTTTCGGCTAGGCCATTCAGGTAGGTATTCTTGTCCTTCTGGATGGAATTCTTTACCTCTCGGTTTACTTCGGTGTACTCTTGTTGTGCAGCGAGTTTCTCATTTCGGGTACGGCTGTTGTTGACTTGGGCCTTCAGCTCTCTTCTTCTTTTGACTTTGTCTAGAGAGTCTTGTGAAATCGATTCATTCCTGGTGTTATCTTTGGGTCCTAGGGTGCTCTGGCAAGTTGCATTTACTGCCTCTCTTATCTTGTCCCAGTGTTCGTTGACTTCACAGTCATCCAGATCTTGAAGGACTTGAAATCTGTTCTTCAGTTCCAACTTGAACTCATTTTTCTTTACTGGGTCTTTCAGAAGGCTCACTTCATACTTTATACGATTTCCAGTTGTGACTTGTACATATCTTCTCAGTTTCAGTTTCATCTTTCCAAGGATCAAATGGTGGTCTGATGCGACTTCTGCTCCTTTTAAGACTCGGACGTCCTCCAGTGAGCGTCTAAACTTTCGTGAGATGCAAAAATGGTCAATCTGGTTTTCCGTTATTCCGTCTGGGGATACCCAAGTGGCCTTGTGAATCCTTTTATGTGGGAAGATTCTTCCTCCAATGACCAGGTTGTTGAATGTGCAGTTTTGGAACCTTTCTCCGTTGTCATTTGCCTCTCCTAATCCGTGTCTGCCCATGATTTCCTCATGGTGACTATTGTCCGAACCTACCTTTGCATTTAGATCTCCCATGACAATGTTGATGTCCTTACCTGGAAGTTTGTCGATGGCGCTCTGCAGGCGGTTGTAGAAGTCATCTTTATTCTCCACTTCTGCATCATTGGTTGGGGCATACACTTGTATGATGTTCATGTTTATGACCTTCCTTCTTCCTACCATCTCTTACCTTGAGTTCTTTCTTAGTTCAAAATGAGGCCATGATGATCCTTGGACCATGCGCTTCCCAGCCCTTGAATGTCTTGTGAGCTATCTTGGATATGGTCATCCCTACTCCTTCCCTGTGTGGTCCATCACTGTCATTTCCTGAATAAATGAAAAGCTCC